AATCATGCTCTATTGGAAGGAAGATATTTCTTTGCTTTTAAAAACCTTTATTTCTAAGGGTAAAAGGTATACAGGGAACCTACAAAATAACAGAACATCTAACAGCTACATTTTCTACTGCTTACTTCTCAAAACATAGTCACACACTAACACACAGATAATGGAGAATCTGTCCTTCTTCTCGACCCCTAGAAAGGAAGTCACCTGGAACAAACAACCAATCTGTATCACAATAGAAGCTACTTTTTCCGGGCTAATTCCCCATTGGCTCAGTGCCAGGTTTCTCTTCCAGGTTAGTCCAAACAATAGCAATACTAGGTAAACAAGTTAACCCTATAATGACTGGATTGTCAGACCTTGTAAACACACACATTTCCAACACTGATAAGAGCTGTCCTTGAATAAGAGCAGTTTCTGTCAAGAGCTCTCTCAGCCCCACCTACCTCACGGGGTGTCTGTTGTGGGGAGGGGAAGGGAAAGGAGTTTGTAAGCTGCTCTGAGACACCTTTGGGTAGTGAAGGGCGGGGTATAAATCCAATCTCCTCTTCTTCTTTTCAAACACTAAATTACATTTTGTAGAATTCTGTCATAAAAGTCCAGTATTTTAGCATGTCTCTCAACACCAAAATCACAGCAACAGGAGACTGTTAAAATAGATTGTGCCCGTTTCACCCAAACAAGCCTGCTTGTGCTGATGGAACAGGCTCTACTGGCATGGGGGGGACATGATATTGCCCACTCCTTCCTGCAGCTGCCCAGCCCCCCTAGGTTTCTGCCTACGTGGATCCCCTGATGGTCAGACCTGCCTTTTTAAAAGCACTTGCAGGCATCTATTTGGGGAAGCAGAAGGTGGGAAAGATCTGTCTCTGCAAGCATCTTGTACAGGATCCAAGTTAGAAACAGCACCGGAATTAGGTGTTTTTTCATATCTGAATCATAAAAAGTATATCACCCAATGCCCAATTTATTTATAGCTATTTCCCAATGGCATACAACATCCTCCTTCCTTCTTCCATTTACTCGCAATATCTCTGTGAGGTGGATAGAGCTGCGTGTATGTGACTGGCCCAAGGTCACCCAGTGAGCTTCTATGGCAGAGTAGGGATTCAAACTTGGGTGTCCCAGATCCTACTCTGAGCGCACCTTTCAAAGCACTTCATATATATGATGGTAATATTACCACAGTCATGCCAGTCAGGCCAGTGTTATACAGCAGAGGGACAGAACTGAAGGTGTGAGGCTTGTCTAAAGCCACCTAGGGAGAAGAGCTGGTGACTTCCTGGATCACAGCCAATTCTCTTTTGTGCTATGCCCACCAGTTGCCATCATTCTATTGGAAGTATCTACTCAGATTTGGCATGTAACATCCCCTTTCAAGCTGTAGTGGCTGTCTAATCAGAAGAAAGGCATGCAATTAAAGCCAGCTGCTAGGAAGCTAAAGCCAGAAATCACAACTTTTGCAATACAGAACTTTGTAAACCCTACAAGGGAATAAATACAAGCATTTGATAAAAATTAAAAAAGCATACATATCGGAAGCAATTATGGATTAAATTAAGCACTGTTTTACAAAATAAATTTAACAAAGCCTTCTGGAACTTAATGAACAAGAGCATTTTGTTTGTAACAATCCTTTGGCATCTAATGTCCCCAGAACAGCTTGGATGGCCAACTTTTTCCTCTATAGCTAATTTGTTTTTAATGCTTAACAGCCTTAAGATTTTCTCCCCAAATTAAATGATTGTGGTTTAGGTGTTCAGTGATAGCTACTGGGGTAGAGAACTTAACTGGCAGCTGCTCAAATATCTCAACCACTCAAAATTTAGCAAATAAAAGATATGTGGGGAAGATTGTGTGGGGTTTTGAAAGATAATGCCACCTGGTGACATAACTTCTCCCTGAAAACTTTATGGCAGCATGAACATCACAGGCAGCATTGCAAATGGACATCAAAGTATTGTTACAATTCAGTTCCTTAAAAGGGCCACAAAGTTGGACGTAGTGCTCTATGGGAAAAGTCATTTATCTTGAAGTCTCGGATTTAGAAAATCAGACCTTTGTGAGGCACAGACTTACTTCAAGTATTCCATTATAAGATATTTGCTTTGTTATTCCTCCTCTGATTAGTAAACACACTTTCACTGTAAAAATTCACATTATAGAGCTTTTTAAAATTTAAAAACAGCTTTTGACACTCTGGATATTTACTTTGGACAAAACTGTATTTCTAATCTGGATGGCAGGCACTTAGAACTGATTTGAATTCTGTGATCTAATAGTTTCAAATTAGAATCCCCTCAATGAAAATTCTTTTAGACCCAGGAAGAGAGGGAATGAGCCAGAGCTTGCTTCTTGGCCAGGCTGTCTCAATCACACAGGAAACAAAGGCAAGCCTTTCTTCCCCTCCACTGACTGAGACTCCTCCCTGAAGAGAGGGAAGGAAGAAGGGAAAGTTTGCTTTGCTCGGCTGCCTCAATCGCATGGGAGAAATACAAAGCACCTTTAAGATCAACGTTTTATTGAAGTTTTTGTGTGCCTTGCTACACTGTGTGTGTTTTGTTGGACTCGTTATGCTGTGGCTCTCCTGGGTGCAACTGGGTTCTCTCCCCCTTTTCACTGTATTCATGCCCTCATGATCCTATCTTTCTCAGTAGAAAGGCAATGTGAACTATTTAGATGAGGAATAACAACAAAACAATAAGGTGAATTAGACTGAGAGTGTTTGTCCAGACCAAGTTCACCCAGCACCTTTGCTTTGGGGATTTTGAACTTCCCAGATAGTAGGCTGATACTGACCACTGAGGAAGACTATTGTTTTGTAGACAAACATATAGCTCTCAGTCTGTGTCATGGTGCATTCTCATGTTCTTGATCAGCACACAAAGCAATTTATGTACAAAAGCTCGCAATGCCCAGCCATTTCATGTTTTTTCCTGAGTCCTAGGCTCAGAACTTTGAGCATAAGATTTCTGTAATGACTGTTAGTAAATCAAAAGTAGGTTTGCAGCTTACAGATACACACTTGAACAGCATACTCAAAATTGCTACAGCACAGACATTTTGATGCAATAAGAGTGCTAATGTTTTAAGCATGTTTTATTCTAAGTAAAAAAAAATATTTAATTGTGTTTGTGTCCTTTATAAAGTTTATATCTCCATTACCTGGCATTACATCTTATGACACACATGGCCCGGCCCAACAAGGTCTCGTTTATGTCAGATCTGGCTCTCATAACAAATTAGGTCAACAGCCCTATTTTAGACAGCTTACCATTTATGGGAGATGTGAAGCAGGGTATTGTAATTATTTTATAAGTGTATGATGAATGAATTAAAAGGGAAGTAAAACATTTTCTCCTGTAGTAGTAGCAAAAAGTGAAACCAACCAACCAACCCCTCCCCCCCACAACTCCAAACTGTTTTACTCTGCAGTGATGGTGTTGAGTTTTTATGCACAAATTAGATTGTACAGATTAGGGTATTTTTGCAGAAACACCCAATTAACAGTCATCCATAATAAAACACAGGTTGTAGGGTTTGATGTAATTTCTGATATCATAAATGTCAGATTAATTAATTGAACAAGTAAAGAAGGTTATTTATTTTGGGGATAACAAATAACATTTAAATTGTTGAATTTAAACTTGAATGAACTGAATCAGAGGATCCTCCACTTCTCAAAGTTCTAAAGAGATATACAGATAATACACATTTTGGAGATATTAGAGAAAAAAACTAGACTCCAAAGGCTTATATGGGTAGAGATTTGGGCTTTAAAAAACATAATGGCTAAGGAATTAATTGAATAATAGAAATAAATATTTTAAAAGAACCAGCCACAGCAAAGAAAGAAGACTGCAAACCTTAGAATTGTAACTGGTTACAATTTCAGCAGCAACCCAAGTACTGACATTGTCTGCATACTTTAAGAGCTTCAAAAGGTAATCATCCTGGGCACAATTTTTCGCAAAAAGGTTATAGGCCTGAGTAGGCAACGTCTCAGAGGTCACAGGTCTGTAAAAGACAAGCATCTACAAAATTTAAATGTTAATTTAAAAACATGCAAACAGAGGCCCACCTTATTTATTTATTTTTTTTAATAATAATTTTTGTTTTATTAGAAATACACAAATACAGATATGCAGATGAAACATTTTGAAATCTTATTGAAAGGAAATTATAGGACTGTATTCAAACACCAATAGAAGATGAAAGCAGAAATTTTCTTCTTCCATTCAAAGTCCCTGTTGAGGATGCCTAGAGCTGTTGGTTTCTGGGCGGCAAAAAGCCCATACATTTTGTTTAAAAAATGCATGCAGATCCTGGACCCAGAGTTATCATCTTGTGTCTCAATAAGAAAGGTGGAGTATAGAGCAAATAAATCTTTCTGAAGGTCAAAAAGGACTACTAGTGGAAGGTGAACATGGAGAAGATCAACATTCTCCAGTGCCTTTCATTGGCCATTAATTGGCTACAACCAAACATGGACCCAAGTGGACTGACAGCTTGGGATCATGTGACTAAAAAAGACGGGAACACTAGAATATTAAATCAAAACCTTCACAATGTTTGCATATAGATGAATGTGCACCACAGGTTTGAGATTTTTATTAAATTTCTGGCCTCTAAAATCCATGATAAATGGAGTAATACTAATTAGGGCAGACACTGCTTAGCTTTCGAAATCTGATTAAATTGAGCTAGTTCCTTCCTCTACCTACATCTATAGTGGCAGAAAAATTACTAAGCTATTCTTCCGTTTCTTCTTCATCTTCCCTTCTGGCAAACATCACATGATGCCTTTCTTCACCTACTGTACCTTGGGACAAATACACCAAATTTTGCCTTCTCATTTATATCTGAATTGATGATTTTGGAAATTTACCATGATTTTCCCCATAAGCTCCACCATGCCTCTTCTCTATCCATTTTAAACTATCGAACATGGCAGGGCTAAAGGCAAAGTTCTATATTCCTTCTGTCCCTGTCAATCTTGGCAGGTCTCCATTGCAGCCAAAGAAAATGCCATTCAATGTGGTTGCATTGTGTGGCAAAATATTTACATCTTCAAGGCATAACTTGCTTAGGAAGTTATGATTAACAGTGCAATCTTATCTAAAGTCACTTCAGTTTAAGCACATTGATTTCAATGTCACATAAGATTGCACTGTAAATGAAAGACATTTTATTCTGTTTAGACACTTTCAATTAACTCAAAAAGGGCAATTTGACTGTGGTTTTGCTGACGCTCCTAGGTTCATGACACACCAGGCTTTTTGGTTTGAACTTTACATCCTAAACAAACAAACATGGAAAATGGAAAAGATAACAAGAGGAGGGGAAGTGAAGTCCCTTTTTGGGGAGGCGTTATGGCAAGATTCTTCCCATGCAGACTACATCACAATTGCTGCCGTTTCCAGCATGAGCTGATGGAAGTACAAGAGGGCTGCACAGGGTAAGGAACCTGAATTCAAGTACATCATGAAGGCTGAGCACAAATCCATCCCATAAGGACTGCAACACTGAGAACCTTGTCCCAACCAAACCGTCATGAAGGCTGAGCACAAATCCATCCCATGACTGCAACACTGGGAACCTTGTCCCAACCAAACCAGTAAGTTGATGGATCAGAACTTTTCATCCTCAGCTCTACTAATGCAAGCCTCTAAATAACATTTGCTCAATGAAAGATTCTGTATTACAGAACAGTGGCCCTACAGTTTTCAACACTCTTCAAAATCTTTTACAGGAAAAATATCTCGGGCATGTTCAGTTTCAAATATTACTTGTGTGTTTATTTTTAGGTCACTTCCTATACTTTCTTCAATGTCATCTTTACTAAAAAGTCCATTTTTTCTACACCTCTTTCATATTTCATTCATTGCACAGCCAATATTTGTATTGTATCAGCCTATCATGAGGCCAGGCAAAGCAGCCAACTTACTTTTGTTGAGGTATATTTTTGTCTTTGACTCCAAGCAGTCTTGAATTTAGAAAATGCACTGGATGGCATTTATGGAATTTTTCCTAAGACAGACAAAAATGGTGTATACCAATATTTATTTGCTTATTTATTTATCAACTTTATATCTCTCTCCCCTGAATGGGACTCGAGGTGGCTAATAACATATCAATACATACGATAAAACAGTACAAAAGATACAATAAATAAACTTTAACATATGAACTGATTAAAAATCTATCCTGGTTAAAATCTATCCATTTTCAAGCAGGGTAGGATGTGTGGATGGTGAAGACACAGCTGAAGCATAATTGGATCTTTTATAACTTGCTATACCTTTAGATAATCATGCTAAGATAATCACGCTAAGTCATCTACTCAAAAGGAAGCCCCACTATGTTCAATGGTTCTTACTCTCAAGTAAGTGTGCATAGGATTGTATCCTTTTTTCTACTCAAGTCTTATGAACCTCTTAGCCCAGCAACCTGCACCTCTTTGCCTCCATGTAAACACATTTATGTATCCCAGTTTACAGTATAGAGAAGAACATGTGGATCAACGAAAGGGTCATGTGGGAAAAGGCAGATACATGGCTGGACTGGATTAGGGCTTGAGAGCATGGCAGTTACCTAGGTTATACTGTGCTAAGAACATGGCAATATAGATAGTTACCGATTTTAAATCAATTGTTTTTAATTAATAAAGAGGAAGCAATTTTTACCTGTTCTAACAGAGTTAGCTGGCAGCAAAGTTGTTGTGCAGTATATTTTGCTAAGAAATGCAAGTCTCTGTCAGTTCTAGTATAGAAGCCTGAGAATCTTTCAGTTAAATTTGCATAGCATGGCTTTGGTAAACCGGAAACAATGCTATGTTGCCTGGTCCCCTGAGAAGGTGCAACAGTCTCATTTCCTTGAGAGAGTTTCCAGTTAAAAGTCTGTAGAGGAAAAATAAAAGTCACCTGTAACTTTATCCAGTTAAAACCGAATTCCTTCTTACATGAGCTAAATTGATATTGGCTTCATTCAACAGGTTCAGTTTATTCACAGTATTGTAAAATAATCTAATATAACTAGTTCATTTAAGAACACAAGGGAAGAACCATGTCTCAGTGGTAAAGCGTCTCCTTTGCATGCAAAAGGTGCCAGGTTCCATGCCTGGCATCTCCAGTTAAAAGAAAGGATAATATAATAGGTGCTTTGAAAGAGCTCTGGCTGAGACCATTGAGAGCAGCTGCCATTCAGAGTAGGACATACTGACCCTGATAGACCACTAGTCTGACTCTGTATAAGGCAAAGGCAACTATGTGTGCTGATGTGTAATGCAAAACAGTCTATAACTGTGATTGAACAAGACAGAACTCTGTTTAAAAGTCAGTTCTTACCAGTTGATGCTTGCAATACAATAACTTACTCTTCTTACTACAGTGTTTTATATTTTTAACTTCTATTCTTTTTTTTCTAGTTGATGAGACTCATTACAAGCTTCTGCCAGAAGATGAACATCACCTCTGTGTATACAGTGGGGTGAATTGGGGGTCCAGTTGTGCCATGATAAGGTTCAGAGGAGCTTAATATGATATGTAAAAAGGTAAAGGTAAAGGTTCCCTTGCTCGAAAGCCAGTCGAATCCGACTCTAGGGTTGTGGAGCTCATCTCCGTTTCCAGGCCAAAGAGCCAGCGCTGTCCGAAGACATTTCCGTGGTCATGTGGCCGGCATGACTAAACACTGTTACCTTCCCACTGAAGTGGTACCTATTTATCTACTTGCAATTTCTTGCTTTCGAACTGCTAGGTTGGCAGGAGCTGGAACTAGAGACAGGAGCTCACTCCGTCATGCGGCACACTCCAGTCTCGAACTGCTGAACTACCGACTTTCCACAGCCTGCAGTTCAGCATCTTAACCACTTGAGCCACCGCAGCTCCAATATGATATGTGCGGTATCCCAAATACAACTGAAAGCGACACATTGTAAGACACTTAATTCCAACGGTTAATATTTTGCTCATATGAAAATGCTTTTGGATAGCAAGGTAATTTGCCAGAATGAACACAACTTCCCATATTCATGAGGCTCCCATTTGGATAAAAACATGTCCTTGTTCATTTGTGCTGTTCCCTTTCCAGATGCTAGTCTTCTAGTCCCTATATTTGTGTTCCCTTTTCCAAGCTTAGATGTCTTGTTATCTATTTAGAAAGAAATTTATAGGCCAATGCTGTTCCAAGAAGGCTCTCAAAGCAGCACACAGTACATAATTAAAAGCAATAGACTAAAATATCCTTCTCAGAACTCTCAGAAAGCCTGGAGGGAAAGTCTTTTTACCTACAAGATACAGTAAAGTTTATTCTTGCGGTCATGGGACCCATGTTGACTAACAGCCATGTGGATCAGCAAGTTGTAGAAGGGGGTGAAATTGCCTTCTCTCTCCTCTTCTCACAGCAGAGTTGTACTTTCTGGATACCCAGAAAGAACAATTTAATCTCCTTTCCCCTCCCCACTGCAGTTTCCTGACCCATGTGGCTATTAGCCCACACTGGCCCATGTGGCTATTAGCTCACACTAGTCCTGAGATACCAGGGGTCAACTTTCCTAGAGTTGTAGAGGACTGCTAGAGAGAGGAGAATATGGAAAATATATGCAGTTGTCAGCATCTTCTGCTGATGGATTCTGGATCCAACATTTTGCTGGATCTAACCCATATACTGTGGTAGCTCAGTCTCTAGTTTACAGAAAACAGGTTGTTGGCCGAAGGTAAATGAACATGTCCTTGGATACCACAGACACACAGATGTCTGATGGAATGCTGTATCCAGAAACACTCTGATGCTGTAAGCCTGTTCTTGTTAGGGAAGACTGACACATATTAGAACAAAGTTTGAGTCTAGTAGCACTTTTAAGACCAGCAAAGTTTAATTCTGGGCATAAGCTTTCATGTGCACTCAAAAACTTATACCCAGAATTAACCTTTGTTGGTCTTAAAGGTGCCACTGGATTCAAACTTTGTTCTGTTCCTTCAGACCAACACGGCTAGCCATCTGAACACATAGGAACAGGCATTTTTGCTAAACTGAGGGCCACTGACCACCAGCATCTATTCTTTGTCTGGAATGAGTTCTGTGTTCTTGATTGATCCAGTAATGACACTAATTTCAGGCAATCATCTACAGAGAACCCTTCTACACCTGATATAGAGATAAAGAGAAATGCATCTGTATGTCATCAGCATACTGATGGCACTGTGAGCCAAACCCCTGAACATCCTAATCACTTTACCACACCTGTAGAAGTTAGAGGAAATGATTTCAGCCTTAACAAGATAATGAACGTTCATGGCAAAAGATGATGGAACCATTCCCTGTCAACAAATTACTCCCCGCCTCTCCTGTACAAGAAACCAGATCCAATGTGTTCGGCCTTGATTGCATTACAACATTATGGTTGTCATGGCTGTTACGAAACCCTGAACCATACAGGTTACAGATAATTGTTGTGAACATTTAAATCCACTAGAGGACTATAAAATTTGGAGATCCTCAACACCATATCAGAGACCTCTTATTACAGCTCGGTAAGAGAGAGGACTAGGCAGTGGAGTGGTCAGCATACCAGAGAATCCCTTTCCTATCCCAATTGCCCAGTGTCAGAGGCACACATTCAGAATGGAATCTGCTTTAGAGCAGACACCTAATAGAAGGGATAGAATTCTACAGGCTACAGTAGCCTCCCCTTCTCAGCCACTGAATTTATATTGCTCTTGTTATCTGCCTGGAAACAACTGGGTCCAAACAGTCTCTCTGCCTCATTGAGCCAAGTCTCTGTAATACATACTAGGTCAGCCTTCTCCTCCTTGGTCTTGTGAATGACAGAGGTTTTATTTTGGACTGGACTTAAAAGTGAATGAACAAGCTCCACAGAAGTGAAGCTATAGGTAGAGCGCTTGAGCAGGAAAGCCCAAATAGTCTTAATCCCCCCCCCTTACCATAACAAATGTCATTACTCTCCCATGGACGCTATACAAGTAGTGTAGCCATTCCTTTACCATTACACATTTGCCAGGCTCACAAGCATTAACTTTGGCAGGCATATTCTAATCCCATTAACGATATCTGAAGCACAATTAGCAGGAAAATAAATGTACAGATTAACAACTAGTAGTCAATTTTTAATAGTTAGCAATGAATAAACTGCCCATTAACAATTGTTGTTGTTCAGTCGCACAGTCGAGTCCGACTCTTCGCGACCCCATGGACAATCTCCCGCCAGGCTCTCCTGTCTTCCGCCGTCCTCCGAAGTTGGCTCAATTTCATGTTCGTTGCATCGCTGACACTGTCTAACCATCTCATCCTTTGCCGTCCCCGTCTTCTTTGACCTTCAATCTTTCCCAGCATCAGGGTCTTTTCCAGTGAGTGCTCCCTTCTCATTTGGTGGCCAAAGTATTTGAGCTTCAGTTTCATTATCTGGCCTTCCAGGGAACAGTCAGGGTTGATTTCTTTGAGGATTGACTGATTTGTTCTTCTTGCAGTCCAAGGGACTCTCAAGAGTCTTCTCCAGCACCATAGTTCAAAAGAATCTATTCTTCGGCGCTCGGCCTTCCTTATAGTCCAACTCTCACAGCCATACATGACTACTGGGAATACCATTGCTTTGACCATGCGGACTTTTGTTGGCAGGGTGATGTCTCTACTTTTTATCATGCTGTTTAGGTTCGCCATCGCTTTCCTCCCAAGGAGCAGGCGTCTTTTAATTTCATGGCTGCAGTCACAGTCTGCGGTGATCTGGGATCCCAGGAACGTGAAGTCTGTCACTACTTCCACGACTTCCCCTTCTATTTGCCAAGGAGTGATGGGGCCGGATGCCATGATCTTAGTTTTTTTGATGTTGATTAACAATTAGCAGATTACTAACAGCGGCTAGCATCACAACAGAATCAACTGCACAATACTAATTATGCAGCAGAATCAATTGAGCCGCCAAATGTTACAAACCCCCTCCCAAAATACTGAGCTTAATAAAATCTCAGAGCCAGAGCACTAAAAGGATTTTCTGGCCACAGTTATGAACCCAATAAAAAAACTAGTGTCACCAGGATAAAAAGAAAATGAAAAGGAGAATATTGCCTTCTCATACTGGGCAAAATCTCACACTAATAAAGATATCACCTACACTCTCAGTGGGTACACACTTCATAGAACAGGTGCTTGAATGCATAACTTAATCCAAAAGGCACAAGCAAGTATTTATTCTAAATAATGCACATGCCAAACTTCATGGCTATACCCATTTGCACCATCCCTTTGGTGGTAATCCTGGACAGCAGCACTTCTAGTGAAACCTCCTGATTTTAACTGCCTGATCACTGGGATAGTCTGCAGCAGTCAATTATTAGGCAGAATGGTAGTCAGAGCATCAATAGAATAACCACTCTGTCCTGATGTCCCAGCACCCAATACACACATTCAGCTTGTACAGCAGGTCTGGTAAAGGACCCAACACTTCTGGGAGAGATGGAGACCTCAGTTCATTATTTCTATCATCTTAATCAGAAAGTAAAGGCAAACCCATGGTGTCAAAGGAGCAAAAGAAGGAGTTGTTAAATTCCTTTTGAGTAATCGACTCAGCCATCTCCGGAACAAGAGCTGTATATCACAGCTCTGAAGTATCCCCAAGATTTGTGTTTGTCTGCATCTCAGATATGTTTATACACCTCAGATATGTTTGAGATGCTAAAAACATCATTGTCAACATCCTCTTTCCCAGACTGCAATCTAGTCATCCTCTTACAGAACTACCACTAGTATTGTGGCCAGTTAGAATGTGTTAAGGGTTTATCTCCTTTCATGTATATCATTGCCATATTAGTCATCTTCAGCAATGCCAGAGAGCTATTTCATTTCTTTTCTCAGTTGCTTCCTTCATTTCTATCTGTTCTTATACATAATCCGGAAACCCACTTTCAAACACAGTGAACATTGGGCAGCTTTTTCATTTTCTCTGTACTGTAGAAGGTGTTATGATTGCAGCAGGATTTAAAATAATCTAATAAAGAGTAGACCACGAAGTGTTTTTCCTTTTAAAAGGTCAACAGTGTTAACTAGAACATCACTAGAGAAAAATGCATTTTATGACTAGTGTGTTCAATAGACTTCAAGATACCAAATAAACATTTCAGATTAGAAATGCTCTCTTTGTGTGTAACCGTAGACCATTTCTGTTGAAAGCAAAGCCTTGGTAGAATCTGGGATATTTGCTGTTACTCTGTCCCTATGTAATTGTTCATTATAATTACTGTATAATTGCTCCTTTACTGCATGATGAAATCTACTAATGTAATGTTCAATAAACACTGGAAAAAATGTGTGAAAGTGTGAATTGGATAGAGTGATGTTTGTACTGAATCCATTTCACTAGTGGGATAACCTTTTCAGTGTAAAGAACATGCCCCCTTTAACTGGTGGAAGGTTTCAGAAGAAGTTTCCAGTAATGGTGGAACAGATTCATGGGAACCAACCTAAAGGTTCCATTAAAAATTTAAAATTTGTCAATAAAGTACTTTGAGCAAACATTACTTACAAAACGCATAGCTGAGTTTATTATTGAGTTTAGGTTCATCATGTTTTATTGAGCTAAACTGTATTTGGAGTGGTTTCATTCGGCTTTTATTAGCCAAACCTTTAAGGTGATATTTACTTGTTTAAAATATATTATGTTATTTTTGTTAGCTAATTGGGAATGTGGGCAAAACCGGATATTAATTTAATACTTTATAAATCTTACATATGTACGACAGGAACACACCAGTACAACCAATGGCAAACATTTTGCTTCCTAGTGTTGGACATAACCTTTATTTCTAGTGAGGAAATTAACAGGTTTTTTCCCCTCCCTTTGTCAGTCCAGGAGTTTAAGAAAGTAGTCTGTATCCAACTATACAATCTAAAGACTGAAGGAGGTGGCAATTTTTGTATATCCACCCGCCTTCCATAGATCCCCACTTTGCCCCTGTACTACTTCTGAGGGTGTCCTCATCCTCCTCAAGGAACAAAATTTCTTATGAAAATTTAAGTGTCCTTAAATCTTCAGAGTTGCCTGGTTGGATACAAGCCAATTTATATAGTGCCACGGGGTCTAATCATCCCCAGTCTGGTCACCTACTGCCTGAGATGTGTTAGTGTAGTGCAGGTAGAGACTAGAAACCTGTTCCACTTAGAAATCCCTTTGTACCGAACAACAAATAAGACCAGCTGTTGGTTTGGAATGGTTGAGCTTCAGTGTTTTTTTTTAGAGTCTATGGAATAAACTTGTAAGTGTAGTCATAAAGCAGTCAAAGTCACTGAAATCTTATTCAAGTGTACCACTGAATCCTATGGCATTATAGAATCTTCTGGATGAAGATATAAATATATACGTTCATGCATAAAAGTCACTTGGTGGCTTTGGCAAAGCACTGTCTTGAGATAAAGATGCAACCTGTACATAGGGCAGGAGGATATACTACTGTACACAAAACATGGTTAGGAAGCCACATACCTTTTGTGAACTGTCTTTCGAGACCTTTTTGCACAAGGAAGGTAAAGACTTTGTATCCTCTTTTTCCTCCCATACTTCCAACCTGTGGCACTGAGAAACATTATTCCATTTTCTGCTAGCAATGTCTTGTAGCAATGACAGCAACCATGTTCCATAGCCGTTGCGTGGAACCACCTACAAAGACCACATGATTCCTTTATTCTATGGATTTATGCTTCAGGATGTAAATGTACTGATTTCTCCAGAATAAAACTTGCTTTGTCAGAGTCCTTTAGCAAACAAAATGAATGCAGCTCTATGGCATGTGGGTATTTTCCTCCTAATTCCTATGATCTTTTAAATGAAACAGAATTATAATGCTGTTGTTGCTCACACACATCAAATCTTATTTAGATTTAGAGGTCACATCTTAAACTTTCTGTCAAAACAGCGAGTTACCTTTGAATTGATAAAGGTTTTTAGTATACCCATCAAGTCAGGGTTTATTGCAAAGTCTACACCATAACAATCTTCAATCCAAGCCTGCAAGATAGAGAAACTGCGGTGGTATATTTTGCTGAGAAGTGAAGATTCCAGGTTTGAACTAAAAAGAAAAGAAAATGGGAGTAAACTGACATTTACTTTTATCACATTATCTAATTATGCTGAAATATTTGAAAAGAGTATCTGTCATAAACTTATCACTTGAAGAACTCAAAACAATAAATATACCTTCCTTTGTTATAGCTTAATAGGGAAGAAAAGCTACTGAAATCAGAAAGTACTTTGTTAGTTGAAAGGGAAAGATCAGCCAAGGAGAAAAAAAAGTCTCTTATTTTCTTAAAGATTCAATTGTATTTGAAAAGCAAATTTATAAATCCTACCTACGCTGAACTTAACTGAATGTTTTTTAGTTAAAAATAAAACAGTCATACGCAAATGCTAGGGACACAGATAGGGCACCAGTTCTGTTGATGCTTCTGCTAGTCAACAGCAATGCATCAGCATTAAGTAGCATTTTGACACTTACCTGGGTGAGGTGAGCCTGATTCTATCAAGAAGAAATTGCAGAAATTCTTCTTGTGCACAGAAATAACGAAATGTGAACAGGAATTGCTGCACATAGCCTTCTAAAAATGCATTTCTGAAGAGTATAACAAAAAATTGAATTTTGCAAGGTCAGATATTCTTTTTTTGAAACAACCAGGAAACAAACAAACAAACAAAACACAAAACCCTGAAGGGCAAAGGAATTGATCCAGCTATATTGTCTTATTTGCTATGTTTTGTATCTTAAATAGGTGTATTCTCTATAAATGTAGAAATTTCTCCTATAAATGTAGGTAAGGTTCCCAGCTATCTGGTATTGACCCAGACAGTCTTGTATTTTCACTGGCTGTCCAGGAAAAGAACTGGAAAAAAACCCGAGACATTTAAATGTGATATTTTTGCAGTGTTTTCCCTGAGCAGTCAGTGAAAATACTGGATTGTCTGGGTCAACTGGCAACCTTACCAAGCCCAAATAGTGATGGACGCTGTTGGAGCTTGGAGGAGGTGATGCCGAGGCAGCCAGAGCACAAAGCAGCAGCTGCTGCTGTTGTGATCTTGCACTGGGTGATCCTCCTAGTGTAAACAGTGTGTTTCATGCTATTTGTGCTGGGAGGAGGTGGCACCAAGCCTCAGTGTGTCTGGTATTTAAAAAAAATGTGGCAAGCCTAAATGTAGGAGGAAAACAACAACAACAGAATGCCTGGTGTCTGGAGTACTCAGAAGAGATATTCTCCAAGTGACCATTTGCAGCAAAGGTGGCTTTCCTGGCCTCCTTCAAAAATGAACAAGTTTAGTAGATTCCAGACAACTCCCTTATGCTCCAACTGTCAACAGGAGAAAAGAAGCATCCTGACCTCCAGATTTGCTGAAAGTAGGTAAGGCAGTATTGCTAGTCTGGGATTCTGTCCCCTTCCTTTTGTAAGTAGTAGGAAGGAAGCGTAGTGTAATTTGTCCATCACAACTCTCAATATAAATTGCCAATATTAATCTAGGATTATGCTATTGATGGAGGATGTGCTACTACTGATATGGGATTCCCTCCTCCTGTCTGGGACTTCATCTTCCTTCATATAACCGTTTTTTGGGAAAAGGTCATGCAATCGAAATGCTGTGGAAAGATTCCCTTGCATGTGGTATCTGAAATGCCCTGAGTTTCTCCAGACAGCACAGAATCCCTGAAATGGCTTTGGAAGTAGGATGACTATTTCTACAAGACAGTTCAGTAAAGCATATTATCTCTTTTGAAAGAAGGCACCGTACAACAAGCTGTACCTGGAGTAAAGATATGCCATTAAACCAAGGGGTGTTCCAGCTTGCAGATTCCTTGGCTGAGTTTGATGGTCATTGAACTGGGTTTTATTTACATTATAGAAAAGCAGTAAGCTGTCCAAGGAGCTTATGCCCAGGGTTTCACTTCTTGCCATGTTAACAACTGTACAAAGGTCACAGGGTTCAGCTCCCCATTTCTCTATAAACATTATCTGCAGTAAAAAGAGGCAAGGCAGTTAGACCAATACAAACAACAAGCCACCTCCACAAGAAGAAGAGATTTGATTTATACCCTGCCCTTCACTACCCAAAGGAGTCTCAGAGCGGCTTACAAACTTCTTTCCCTTCCCCTCCCCACAACAGACACCCTGTGAGGTAGGTGGGGCTGAGAGAGCTCTGACAGAAACTGCTCTTTTTCAAGAACAGCTGTGCCAGAACTATGGCTTGCCCAAGGTCATCCAGCAGGTGCAAGTGGAGGAGTGGCGAATCAAACCTGGTTCTCCCAGAATAGAGTCCGTGCACTTAACCACTACACCAAACTGAGATATCTAAAATAGGTATCTATATTATTAACCCACTTCTGCAGTTTTCTCAATAATGAAATTCAAGGAGCAGTCTCTTCTCAAACAGAACTTTATGTACACATTGGAATTTTCCTGTATGTACCGCTGGAATGTACATTTTTGATCTGAAAGAATGCCTGAATGGCCCTGTTTCATTTTAGATCAGAAATACCCCAAACTATGTAAGGCATTCACAAAACTTTGGAATTCCAGAAATTTATTTCTCAAAATTTCAGAATTTTTAGGGGTTATTTCAGATGTTTTCAATGGGACCTAGTATTCAACTCCAGATGCCAGGTCTATTTCTATTGTTTTCAGTGGGCAACAGATCAGGTGCCTGAGTGTAGAGGCCAGGCCTATTGCCTATTGACAGATGTTTTAGCTTCATCATGCAGAAGAGAGAGAAAAAATAAAGATGCTCTAAAAATCAGTCAGGTACAATGAGAATGAGAGACACAGAGAGAGAGAGAGTGGAGAAAGGGGATGTCAGTGTAGAGAAATCTGCATGTGGTTACTCTGCAGACCCAGGTTGGAGGCAGAGGAGAGTGGGCAGCATGTATGCAGAGCTGCTGGGGCTGACTCCTCCTGCTGCTTGTCTCGCCGGTGGAGGGCAGGTAGGTACCTCCTGGCCGTCTGCTGCTGCTGTGCCAGGGGAAGCGAGGGGAAAGTGGTATGGGGTGAGGCTGTGGCTGGGCTTCTCCTTCACACCACCTGGCTCTTGGCCGCCGGCGCCTGGGAGGTGGTGGCAGTGGGCGGCGGCATAGAGTGGTGCTCCTCCTGCTATGGCACCTTCGACCTAGCCACAGTGGGGCTCCACCTTAATCATGGGGGCTATGATCCTGGTGTCCACCCCTTACCGACAAGAGATCCTTTTTTTTTCTTCATCCCCCTAGGGGGAGGTTTTTATTGGGTTTTTTTTTCAGACTACAAAACTACAACAGAAAATATAGGAAAGGGAACTACATCTAGGGAATAAAGGAAAAAGACCCACAACTAACTAAAAACCCAAGAGTAGGAGATCATACATCAGCTTAACACCATGCTATTTTCAAAAAGCTACTAATAATACAATGAATTTAGTCAGTTATGCTAGATTAATTATCGTTTAACCATCCCTTTAACTGTTTAAAGAAATTCCCAGAGCATCCCCAAGTTATTTCAACATTTTTTTCAAGCACCAATCAGAGTCCTTCAGCCTTTATTTATTCTTATATTTTCTAATCCTCAGTTTATAAGGGCTTTTGGGGGCAGCCCCCCCCCTTTTCAGAAGGGGAGTCCTCGTCCGAAGACCCCGAGCCCAACTTGCCATCAGATTTGCTTTCTTTTTCCTCCTCTTTGCCCTCTTCTGGTTCCCCAAGCTGTGTTCGCAGAAATTCATGTGCTTTAAAAACAGAGTCAATCTTTTCTTTTTTATCGTTAATCTTAAAAATGATGCCTTCTGGGGTTAACCACCTGTAACTAATGCCATTTGTTTGTAAGAAAAGGATTAATTTTTTATTTTATGTAAGAAAAGGATTAATTTTTTATAGTTCTTTCTCTTCTGTCTTATATCAAATGGAATATCTTTTAAAATCCTGATATTATTGCCCCCAATTTTCAAGGGTGTTCCAGAATTTGCTTTCAAAATAGTCTGTTCGAGAATCTGACCACTATTTCCTACAAGAGATCCTGAAGGGTGCATAATGTGTCTCTGTACATAGTATAGAGACAGACACATTGCACCATACAGGGATATCCTGTGACATGGATTCTCTGGATACACCCCACTTGTCAATGTATAATATTTTCCCATTCCTAACGTTCAATTACACTACAGTACAACCAAGAAATTACTGCATAGGCTATGCAGACTACCAGCAGTTTAATTCTAAGTGGTTTCCACTGACCCCCTTTACTTTACTCCTCCAACTTACAAAGAGATCCTTCTTCCATATGCACTGATGAAGAAACAGCAGATATAAAATTCCAAATAGCAAGGGAAAATAATAATAATTACCTGTAAATACTTCTTCACCAGTTCAAGAAATTGTACCTTTGCTTTCATTTCTTCTAGCTGTCCCCTCAGTTTGGGCAGCACAGTTTTTGCTTCACAACCTCAAGATTGAAAAAGTACATTGAGAACCATTTTGTCAGCATTGGGACAGGTGCACAATTGCTGTAACACAGATCTTAGTTTACAAACATACAAGTATACCTTTGCTTCTTCTCTCTTTATGCAACAGTCTCTGGTAGAATTTTACACTCTTCCTATAATTTCTCATTTCAATCATCATCAGCTGTTCAAGCTCCTGGTGAGAGAAGCAGAGGAACAGTGAAAACAATCTTATAATGATACAATGATTTTCAGACTTACAGCTAGAATAATGCCAGGGGACTTTTGCTGATTTCCCCCTTCTTCCCTTTTTGTAGTGGCCTCCTGCACCACATTTCATGTCATTGTTACGAGTCTCTCTGTCAGCAGAAAGAGTGACTCTAACTTATAAAGATCCAATAGCAACTGGAAATTTATCAGGATGCCAACTATTGTTTAGCCTTACTTTTATTATCTCTTTCGAAACAGTTGCTCTGTTTTGGTCAGGGGACACTCCCCCCCCCCTGCCGCCATGTCTGATATGTGTTTATAAGCCAGAGAGAGAGGAAGGAAGAGTTTAGGAATTTTCAAGGAATCTCAAAATCCTTCTCACCTCCCTCACTGACACAAAGCATATGCCAGATAACTCCCATTTCAAAGCGCATGCGGCAAGCTGTTTATGCCCTTCTCTTCCCTGTTTGAAATTATTTGCATTGGAAAATTGAATGAAAAGTAGTTCAGTTTTATTTTGGAAGTACGATGATTGCATTAGATGCACCATGCAATGCATCAGAGTTCCCAGAGCTACTAGTTTCCAGCTACCAATCAGCACATCTTCTGGCAAATGCTCTGAAGTAATCCAGAAGCTAGATGGCAGCACACCATGAACTCTCACATGTCAAGAGGAAGGAAACCATTTTCATATCCTTCTCCTCAGGTGAAGAGGGCTTGCCTTGTCCAAAGAGGAATCGCTAGTTCATCTCCTGGCTTTACATAGAGCTCAAGAACCCACATTGAAACACGCTGTTTTAGAGCAATATATAAAAGGTAGAGCTGAATGTCATACTTCTAACAAACAGTCAAGTAATCAGAACAACAGGCACTTAAATAAGTTAAAATCACATAAATAACTCATAAACCCTTGGAGGAAGGGCAGGATAAAAACATAATTGAGTTGAACATCCCTAATGCTTGATAAAGAAATATGTTGAAGTTCTAATAATAAATAGGCAATTGTTATTTGTTTAAGGAATACTGTTAAGTTCACAAATTGTTCCCAGAGAGACCGTTTTTAACTGAAACTGACTACAATAAAAGCATCAAATCAGTCTGCATGTACAAAAATCACAAAATACTTTTAAACACATAGGAAGTCCCACAGATGTCATTTGCTGCATGCACAGCTATATTAGGTTTGAAGAAACTGCAGTGCTTAGATCAGTTTTTGTTTGAACAGCTCAGTTCTTCAATTAAGATTATTCCTAATTCATTAGCATATATTAACATATGTTAACAAAGGTGCAAGATACATTCCTCTGCACATTACATTACTATTTACCATCTTCACATTTGCAGATGTAGTCTGCCTAACCAAAGAACCAGGAGAAATCATTTTTCAAAAATTACAAAGATCCATTTAGCAGTGCTATCCTAAGTGGAGTTGCATCATTTTAAACCCACTCTCTTAAAAGGTGTAAGTGTGCCTAAGATGTAAAAGCTCAATTGTGTTCTAGCATTCATTCTGCATATTTTATCATTGTGCTGTTCTGAAATAGTTTATAAAGTGTGGCACAATTTAATGACTGGCGTGGTACAATGGCTATTGGTTTGAGTGGTGGTAGGAGAAAGGGAGCTAGGAAATCACTCAGGTCCTTTCAGATCTTTCTAATGAGAAGCTGGATGCACCTCATAGAAAAAGCTTTTCCTAGTGCAGAGGTTTGGCTGAACTGTTTTGATCCTAGGTGACTGGTTTGATGCTACTGCAGTTGTATCCTGTATGATCACTACATTAGTAATTTTCATTAGCTACAACTGCTAGGAGCTGCGGTGGCTCAAGTGGTTAAGATGCTGAACTGCAGGCTGTGGAAGGTCGGTAGTTCAGCAGTTCGAGACCCGAGTTGCCGCATGACGGAGTGAGCTCCCGTCTCTAGTTCCAGCTCCTGCCAACCCAGCAGTTCGAAAGCAAGAAATTGCAGGTAGATAAATAGGTACCACTTCAGTGGGAAGGTAACAGCGTTCTGTGCGCCTTGGTGTTTAGTCATGCCGGCCACATGACCACGGAAATGTCTTTGGACAGCGCTGGCTCTTCGGCTTTGAAACTGAGATGAGCACCACAACCCTAGAGTCGGATTGGACTGGCTTTCGAGCAAGGGAACCTTTACTTTTACCTTTTTACAACTGCCATGGGGGCAGGCACAAGCCAAGTCTGATTCCATATGTCTGTTACGTGCAAAAGCCATGGTTGTAGCTGAAGAATTCAATCATGTGTGAACACCCTTCTCTCTCTCTCTCTCTCTCTAGGTATGTGGGTGTTTATTCACCATAAATATTCCTGCTTTTGTCTTTCCACACTGTAAGAACAAATGCTTGCTTTTCCAATTGCCCTTCTGCTATGCCAGTAGCTTATGATTAGACTTCTTCCCAGATGGCTTAATCTTCTTTCCCTCACTTTGGGGGAAGGATTATCCAATGACAGAGTTTCTTTGCACAAATTATAATACAGGGGGGGGAAAAGACTTCATGGCTTTTCTGTACAATATAATATTTATTCAAAATTATTATATCCCTCCCACCCATCAAGCTCAGGGCGGCGCATAAAATGTAAAACAGACAATCTTTGCAATACAACAAAATATAAAAGAAAGCTCCCCTATAATTTCATCAGTCAGCTTTAGAAGAACAGATGTCTCCTCCACTCACATTACTAACACTAAAACCATAAACCATAAACACTAAAACCATAAATCTAAACAAATTTTCCCGCTTCAGCCTTCCTTTATAACCCAGAACAGGATGAGTGACCATGATCACTTTTTTTTCCCTTCCCAAACGGAGTTTCTTTCTGGGAGAAAACAAACTTAGGGAATATGGCAAAATGGCACAAAGCGCAGTTTAAAGAATGCCATGACACCACGGGGAGTCTTAGCCAATGGGCGAGGGCGACAGATCTCTTCCGGGGGGGGGGGGGCAACTGCCAACAGCTCCATTCCCTCAAAAGAGGGGGGAAAGAAGAAAGACAGGTTCCTGTAGCTGCTTGCACCTGCCTTATCTGGGCTGAAGCAGCTGGCTTCTGGCAACAGTGGTGGTCTTACTCAGCCCTGGTGGGGCTAGTGATGGGGTGGTAGCAGTGTTTCTGGGGCCCCATCCTTTACTAAGACTAGACTGCCCCTGAGTGATATGGTGATAAAGAAAGAGTGAGGCGGAGGCTTTGTTTTTCCCTAAACTTTCCTTCTTCCAGTTCCTTCCCACTTATTACAGCCAACTAATAGAAAGTAGGCTGCACATGAACCAAAGCTTTGCCATGTAAGGGAACTCAGGATACCATCTGAAGATTTTGTCTGGAAGCAGTAATGCAGACAGGTATGCAACAAACTGATATTTACAAACAAGATGTAACGTTATATATGTTCGGTAGACTGAAGCATGGTTTGTACAGCAAACTTGGGTTTAAACAAACCCCACTTTATCATGGCATCTGAATGCAGCCAATATATGTTACATATCACCCAATATATCAGTGTGCATGCACAAATTAGAAAACAATTTATGCAAGATTACCTGTGGGTTGCATGCTCATTTCTAATTCATTTACTTCATTTATCCCACATTTCCCCCCCAGTGAAGACTAAAAGTAGTGTAAAACATTCTCCCTTCCTCCATTTTATCCTCACAACAATCCTGTGAAGTATACTAGGGTAGGAGTGTGTGACTGGCCCAAGGTCAACCATAACCTAGATTCTGCCTCTGAAAACAAAATCTTAAATTTAACGTATGTTTTTGATCTATTAAAGCAAGGGTCACCTCCCCTTGCCTGACAAGCTATGCTCTCCCTGAAGATAGAGATGCCTGAAGGCTAGTTTTGTACTGTTCTCTGATAGCACCATTAAGTCGTAAGTGCATTAATTCTGTTGTTCTCAATACTAGGCTTTGCATTTTAGTAGACAAGTCAAAAGTACAAGATATTTCATTCAAGGCATGATTCCAGTGATGCCTTTGGCAAGAACTTGACCTTTCCAGGCAGAAAATTGTACATAAAGGGTGTGCTAGATTTGTAAGCTCAAGAGTGTTCAAATTGTGAGGCTCATTTTAAGCCTATACAAAACCCAGCTTGGTACCGGCAGGCTTAAAGGAGAAGGAGTCCTTGGGTCTAAGCCACTGAAATATCAAAATGTCTTGATCCCCCCCCCAAACAAACTTTCTCAATATATGCATTCAGACAGAATAATTTAGGGTTCTGTTCCACAACAAATACTCTCCCTGATCTTAGTTCATTACTCCAGGACTAAACATGAAGCACAAATGAATTCCTTGGGCCTATATTGTTCCTGTATTGTGCAGACTATAAACAGGCACTTGCATGAAGCAAAGCAGGTCTGGGTATAGTATGGAGCCCATTTTGCAAGGGTTGGGGAACAGGAAGACCAGATATGCATTACTTTAGTTATGGCTAAATTAAAAATTACCCTTTTTGCCCCCACATTACATGCCACATCTATTTAAAGTGCAAAGAAATTTTTTCAGACATGAAAACGAAGATACGTACCATTCTTTTGGCATGTGTCTTTTGAATTCCACTTGCTTTTTGCTTTCCAAGTTTTCTTATGTATTTGTGAACTTCCAGACTAAAACATTCAGACCCATAGAATGCGCTGCTCCAACCAAGACGACAATCAAGCAGACCAGATGGGCAAGGAAAATTGGTACAATTATTTTCCTCTGCCTTTACTGGAACCTCCTCTTGCAGTTGGCTTTCTTCTGGAAACTCCAGACTGAGACAACATTTATTGGCCAGCAAACTTTCTTCTATTTCTGTTCCAACCACTTGTGGTCTGAGTTCATAGTCAATGTTATCTTGTGAAAGGTCTTCTACTTCCACACTAGAAAATATAGCTAAAACAAAAATGGCATTTTGGTAAATTTACTTTAAAAAAGGGAAAAAAGGATAAAATTATGTAAAATTTATTTGAAGGACAATTGCTATTAAGAGACACAGCTATCTTCTTCATGTTCCTTTTCACTGTACTGCAGCACCCTCAAAAATTCTTCATGGCATGAGGCCCATAACCCTTTCCCCCATATAAGCCTAGTTCATTCCACTCCGCAGCACAGACTAGGGTTGCCATTCCCCAGTTGGGATGGGGGATTCCCTGGTCTTGCAGGCTCCTGGCCAGTGGGAGGAAATCCCCCTACAAACAGCGATGTCGACAGAAATAAACACGACATGCCTACATCTCCCACACATTGGTGACATCGGTGGCAACATTCTGTTTTTTGGGGGGCAAAACTCTATCTTTTGAGGCTGATTTTACCATAGAGTTTTGCCCAAAACCACAGCATTGCCCCTCACATCACCGACGTGGATTTTACCATAGAGTTTTGCCCCAAACCACAGCATTGCCCCTCACATCACCAACGCACCTATGTCACTTCTGAGTGATGTAGGCACGTCAAACAACAACGTTTCTGGCACCTGAAATGTCCCCCCCATCCCCCACCAGATTTCTGACGGACCTGGCAATCCTAGCACAGACTTCCATATATTTATTTGAAATATTTATATCCTGCCTTATCTGCTTAGAGCTGAGGTGGCTAACAGAGCAGCAACATATTGCAATCTTACTCTGGTAAGCCATTCTAAAGGACTTGACCTATCACAGAAAACCCCCATCACCTGACTATTGCCAGATGGACAGTCCTAAGGAAAGGCACTACATGGAGAAGGCTGTCTGAAAATGCAGCTGGCAGATGGAAGTATTCTGGGAGATGTGGTTAGATAAACATGAGGGCCCTAAGCTGTGAAGGGCTTTAAAAGTAATAACCAACACTTTGAGTTGGGTCCAGAATAGGGTTGCAGGTGTGTGTCCCCCCGCCCCCCGCCCCCAGCAGGGGATGGAAGGGGGCAGAAGCAAATAGGTAACCAGTGCAGTTGACAAAGCACTGCAATTCTGAGCAGCTGGCCCCAAACAGGAGTCTTGCTGATGCATTTGGTACTGATTGAAGTTTCTGAGATGTCTTTAAGAGCAACCATGGTGACCTTGAGACTAGACAACTGTAATGCATTATACATAGGTCTGCTCTGGAAGTCAGTTCAGAAATTCCAGTTGGTGCAGAATGCTGCAGCTTGGTTACTATCAGGAACTAGGTGAAATATGCATATTATACCCATTCTGCAGTTATTCGGTTCAATTCAAGGTGCTGGTTATCAGCTACAAAGCTCTTCATACCTGCAGGACCTCCTGCTATGCCCCACTGTGATAGCTTTCCTAATCCGAGTGAAGCCTTCTGAAGGCACCACCATGCAAACTGGCAGCTGGCAGTCTGTTGTGGCTTCCACTTTGTGGGATTATTGCTATCATACTGCAGATGGTATAAAACAGAACTCCCCAGGAGCAGGGCTGACTTATCCATTAGGCACAGTGCCTAGGGCCCCCGATATTTTTGGGGCCCCACAAAAATGTTTTAATTTCTTTTTAAAATCAGAAGAAAAAATGAACTTTTAGGGACTTATGTCAGAAAAAATTGCAATGTTTAGGGTCCATGAAAATCTATTAATTGTGCCTAAAACATTAAAAAAGTTGAAGTATTTAAAGTTATATAAAAATAATTTTAATATTAATTTTATTATGGTGGGAGGGGCCCATGAAGGCGAAAGTACCCAGGGCTCACAAAAGTCAGGAGAGCATTTTTAGAAAGGGAACAGGGCTGTAGTATAAAGGAATGGCTCAGGAGGATGTTTCTTTATAAAAGAAACAGAATTGCAGGCTACTCCAGTGGTTATATGTTTGCATTCTGCTCTTACTTGCCTTGTCTTCTACTTCTGTAAATCCATTTTCTGCATTGTTTATGATATATCATATTTTTAACTTGTTCGTTTTGCATTGTTTGCTAACTTTTGTAATCCTAGTCCTTTTGCATTGTTTATTGGAGGTTTTATGCTGTTTGAGTACATTATTATATATTGTGTTAACCCCCTGCTTTGAGTCTGAGAAAGACAGGTTATAAAGTAAATAAATAAGACAGAAAAATCAAATATAAATAACACACAAAAAAGCTAAAAGGCAATTATTTTGAGCCTCGTACTCAAGCTCTGTAGAGAGCTCAACCTGAAATGTCTAGAAAGAAGAAACCATTTAGCAGTAGAGGAGTCATCATTAGCAAGATGGCCCTGTCTTCCTGATTCCAAGGGAAAATATTTGGGGATATGTGAACACTGAGGAAAGGCTATTGCCTCAATTTGACTATTGCCTCTGGATGGATGATAGTATAACACAGCAAGGGATCACCTTCTAATTGGATAAAAACCAGTTTTCTACATATGGCCTTCTGGTCACCTCTTTGTGTTCCTCTACCTCTTGATAGTTCCTGTAATACTTGAAAGGTAGGTTTGCTAACTTAAATAACTTCAGACTAACATAGTGTGTTCTAATCAAGTCAACCTTTCCTACCATTTGTTCCATCACTGGCATTCAGTAGGTTTGTAGGCTTATTCAGGCTCTCATCTTTTTTGTCACATTCATCTTCATTCACCCTGAAAATATCAGTGAGGAAACAGAAAACAATTTATAAGTGAAAACTGTGTAAGGGAAAAAGCTACCCCCTCCCAACAGAAAGATAAAATCATAAAAAACATAGTCAAACTGTGTGTGTCCAGGTAGAAAAAGATTCAGAGATTTTACAGGAGTTCAGTGGCACCTATTTCCAATGCAATGACTCATACACAGTGACTAGCAAAAACCCGGCTGAAACATTAAACAGAGAGGGCAGCACCAAGCTGTGATTTATAGGACTTGTATGGCTGACTCAGCCACCTGTCATGTTGTCCCCAGGCTCCTGCATGACAGGGGCAGTTTTAGAAAGGGTTTGTGTTTTTATTCATCCAGACTTTGAAAAATTTATTTCTTATCTTCCTCTTGGCTCTGTTTTGAAAGCAGGGAGTAAATCAAGGGACTTTTCTTTCTGTGTCACTTTTTCTTCCATGCTCGAATGAGTGCTCCAAGTCCATCACTGATACTTCTACTTGGATATGTTTACTGCATATAAGCCTCCCTTCTTGACCCTCTACAGTGGAACTATCAAGTGAAAGATGAAGCATTTCCTATGGGGCACTGATGCAGAAACAGGATGCCCGGCAGTGCATAATGTTAATAAATACTACAACATATATAGGAAAGTTCCAAACATCTATATGGCCAGTACACAGAACAAACAGCAGCCAGCTGACTTTGAAAAATTTATTTCTTATCTTCCTCTTGGCTCTGTTTTGAAAGCAGGGAGTAAATCAAGGGACTTTTCTTTCTGTGTCACTTTTTCTTCCATGCTCGAATGAGTGCTCCAAGTCCATCACTGATACTTCTACTTGGATATGTTTACTGCATATAAGCCTCCCTTCTTAACCCTCTACAGTGGAACTATCAAGTGAAAGATGAAGCATTTCCTATGGGGCACTGATGCAGAAACAGGATGCCCGGCAGTGCATAATGTTAATAAATACTACAACAGATATAGGAAAGTTCAAAACATCTATATGGCCAGTACACAGAACATCCTACAAAGGCTGCCCACTTTCTCCCTGCAACACCCACACCCAGCAATACCCCAGTATTCTGCTCAGAGTGAAGTTGTCATGTGGGTAGGCACAAAGGACAAAAAAACCCCAACAACTCCAACCCAACCCCCAAAACAAAACTTGAACACAACAAAACCCAAGAAGGAAAGTTTATCCTATACATTTTGCTCCAGTGTGTCCTCTCCCAGTTTCCAAACTGTGTTCTGAGAAACCCTGGCATGCCTTAGAAACTTTCCAGTGCTCCTCAGTGGGAAAAAAGACACGTTTCCTTGAAAGTTTGCTGCCACTAATGTTCCCTTGTCATGCTCAGCAACAGGGAGCGTTTAAGTGTATTCTTGGGTTTACGTTCACTTCACAAGAGACTATGAGGCACATAAGTCTGGCCAGAACAGTTTGAACTGCTTTGTACCTCATAGAACATGCCACAGAAACATCTGCAGTACACAGGATTTTATGGCAGACTGGTCAACATGGAAAGCATTCCTGAAGCTAGATCCAGGTGGGTAGCCATGTTGGTCTGAAGCAGTAGAACAAAGTTTGAGTCCAGTGGCACTTTTAAGACCAACAGAGTTTTATTCAAGGTATGAGTTTTCGTGCGCACGGACCCTTCCTCGGACAGTCCATACATGTAAGTATGTGTCTGAGGAAGTGTGCCTTGCACACGAAAGCTCATACCTTGAATTAAACTTTGTTGGTCTTGAAGGTGCCACTGGACTCAAACTTTATTCCTGAAGCTAGTAAGTATAAAATCCAGTCCTGAAATATGCAAACAAACGGAACTGTTTCCTCAGGGCATAACCTCTATTGTTCCCTTCATAAGTATTGACTTGCAATACAAATTTCTAGAGCCCTGCCCAACTTTTCCCTCCAATCCCATTGTGTTTCATTTATGCCTATAAAGTTGTTCCAAACGCAGTAGCTAATAAAAATGTTCATGTACTGCCTTTCAAAACTGCATCATGCAAGCAGAGTTATTTCTTCTAGAGGAAAACCCATATCCTGAGATTTACTGCAACAGGGAATAAACATCAACATTTCTTTCACTCCATTACAGCCTCTTGTCTACCAAGTTAGTCATGAGAAACATTAAGTAAAACCAGAGGCGCTCATGATGTAAATGGCAATGAAATACCAGCCATATGTTCTCATACTGGCACTTAATGCTCATATGAAATAAGACAAATAATTTTATTCTGAACTTAATGAAGTTTTGAAGTTAATGTATTGGCATCTAACTAGCCTCCAGAGAGTGAACTGCTCATTGTGAACAATCCTCCCCCCCAACTTTAATTACACAGCAGCTTTGCCGTCGCCACCAGAGAGTGTTTATAGCCTCTCACAGTCTTTTCATGCTGATGTGGCCCATACAGATCAGGGGTGCTGGAAAATTTGATGCGAATATGATATGCATTCAAACATGCTGTCATTTAACTGCTCATATACATGTGAGTCAAGACCCTCACTGGAGCATTTCAATCTTTTGTTTGAAGTCCATCCATCATTTTTTACAAGATAATATTTATTGTATTCAAAGGTTGTAAATATTTGGCAGAAAGTAGAGAGTGTCATACAATAAAAGGGAAAAAGATTTACAATAATTTGAAGAGAACACAGGGTTGGATAGATCCAGGTAGGCAGCTGTGTTGGTCTGAAGCGACAGAACAAAGTTGGACTCCGGTGGCACCTTTATGACCAACAAGGTTTTATTAAAGGTGTGAGCTTTCATGTGCATGCACACTTCCTCCGATACATCGAAATGGAAGGTGTTCATATATATAGACAGATGCCTCTACACAGGTGAACAGCAAATTAGCATACATCTGAATGAAGATGTTTTGACATACGCAAAGGCCAAACAGCAATAACAAGCTAAGTATATACAGTCACTAGGTCACCGTTTGTTTGGATTTAGTTAGGAGGAGGAAAATAGTGTAATAATATGTCAAAATAGGAGACAGATGTGTGGGGTTATATTTTTTAATTGTAAAGATCAATAAACTGAGAGTCTGTTCTTACACTCCATTGGTCTCCTCTCAAGCACTAACAGCATCCTTTTCTTAGAGGTGTTATGTCAGATAAATCTATTCCAATATATTGTAAGGTTCCACAGCCAAACAATTGAGTACACACTTATCATAAGGTAATCATAAGGTTATACTTTATTGTCAGAGCTATAGAGGCAGTAACATCGTCACTGTTAGGAATGGCAACGTTCCTACAAGCATAATGGGATATAGTGTATTCGTATGCACCCCCCTCCCATCCCTAGGCCAATCGGCCTGACTCCCACGCACGTGCTGCATGGCTGATTTTAATGTTAAAGTGCTGATAATTAGTTTTTGTGGCTATATTTATAACTGTGGTTTTATGTGTCGAGTTTTATGTAAGCCACCCTGAGCCTGCCCTGGTGGGGAGGGTGGGGTATAAATCAAATAAATAATGTTATTGTTAAATTTCTATTTATTGTTATTGTAGTCACCATCTTGATGTGACTTTGTAACCCGCCCTGAGCCTGCATGCGGGGAGGGTGCGATAGAAATCGAATACATAAATAAGCCCTTTAAAAACTGTTAAAAACAGCACTGTTGTGGGGATAAAATGGGTATATCACACATGTCAACCTGAGTTTTTTTGGAGTAGGGGACAGATGAAAGTGTGACAATAATACTGATGAACACTCAATATATTTGGAAGCAGGATTTTTTTGTAACGAGTCTCAGTTGTTGTTTTTTACAGATTCATAGCAAAAAAAGCATCTGGAGAATGGTAATACAGTCTTCCTTGCTTCTATCTATAGCTGATAAAGAGCAGCTATTATTTGGAATCAGAAGCAACATTAAATGAAGCTTGAGTAGGAGGGAAGAGAAGAATCACGTACCTTTCAGGTGGAATTTTCCCGTTTGCTGCTTCGTAAAGGCTTGCAAGTAGTTTTTCTTCCCAGTCAAGGTCACCAAATTTCTCAGAGACTGCATTACAGAATGTGTTATATTTAAGATCCTTTAAGGTGGATATATATTTACCTGGTTTGAGAAAGAAAACTGTGAATTAAGTCTTAGCCTGCAAAACACACCCACACACAAAACACCCCTCTCCATTGTGGGTTATCAGCCTCTTCATCTCACACACCAACCTGGTGTGCCTGTAACACTTTGTAATTTTTTTAAACTTGGTTCAGATGCCTTCAGCCATGAAGACCCCAGGTCAGTCAGCATAGCAATCTAACCTACTTTATGGAGGTTATTATGAAGATAAAGTTATCCTAAGTTCCTTGGAGAACAGGTAGGATGCAAAAGTAATTTAATAATTTAAATAAGAATAGCATCAAGCCAAGAATAATAACAATCACAGAGCCACAGTAAAAGAAGAAACCACATATTGTGGAACTTTACCATCTGTATAATTCTTCAGTGTACTGGAGACTTATCAGAGTGAGGGCCTGTCAAAAACATAACAATGACCATTGCCCCACCACCCTACCCTACTAAATCTTTTGCTATCAACCTGCCCACCATATTTTTTGCATTTGTAGTCCAATATCAAAGTATTATTATATACCCATAGCCAGAGCTTCATCTGTATTCTCCCAATAACTACCAAGTGCAAACTCTTCTTGGATTAAATGCACCACTTTCTTCACAAAAACTTCACTCATCCCATTGTTCTGGTGGAAAGCATCTAGGTTGAGTAAACAAGTAGGCTTTTGGTCCACAGATGCATTCAACGTGCGATCTAGTAAAGAAACATTACTGTCTGCATCATTACTGAATTCCTGACAAAGTGTAAGAAATGGGCTCCTTTCAGAACATTTTGTTTGAGTGTAGTTTGTAGCTGGGGATAAAGTAGTAATTCTGCTTTTCATTTCTGCACATTCACGTTGCATGTTACTGAACCTGCAGTTTCTCACATTATTCAGAGATGGATTTTCCTGTAGGCTTTTGTCAACTCTATAGCTTCTTATAGCATCTGAAAGGAGAACATGTAAACTAGGACAGCAACTGTATGCCACTTTTGAATGGAGGGGTCTATTTGGTATTTGCTCTGAAACAGCAATTTGCACTGGTACAAGAGTTAGCACTCTTGTCTCTGGGTCCTGCTTTAGAAGAAAGTTATTTACAAAAGCTGTACCAGATGGCATGGCACAGTTTGAAGTATTTGATGAACACGTTTGTGAAGTACACTTCTCCTGAGAGTTACATGGAAAGTCAGAGAATAATGGCAATTTATCCATGAATGCATCCATTTTGTTTGGAAATTGGTCTTCTGGAGCAGTCTGAAGTGACGTTTTTGATTTGTCTTCATCATGCTCTTGAACATCAGATGACATGTATACTGTTATTAAATTAGAGTTCTCATCTATCTGTTCTTCAATTTCATCCTTTACGGTTATTGAGTTTTTGCTGTCTGGGTGTATTTCTCCCTCCATATTTGCTTTACATGGCATGGATGTGGATGGAATGGCATCTCTGAAAAAGTAAGTGAAGTATTTGATAATGATGAGACAATTTTAATAAATCATCAATACAAAAATCAATTCAAATGTTTTATATCATGTCAATTCTATCAAAGCAAATTATATAAATTCTTACAGAACCATCATTGACTACTAGCCACAAAGACTTAAATAAACTTTCAGTAACCCTCTGAATACAAAACAAAGTTTGAGTCCAGTGGCATTTTTAAGACCAACAAAGTTTTGTGTGCATGCATATTATTCAGACTGTCGACCATTGGTTTGATCCAGCAAGGTTGCTATTATGTCACCTTTCCTTTTTCCTGGTTAAATTTTTCTGGTTTCGCTCCTATGGATCTCTTTATTCTACTTGTCTCCTGCTACTCCCTTCTTTATGTACTCTGATCTTCACCTATGGGGATAATCCTATGATCCTTCAGACTTCTATTTTAAAAAATGTGACTGTTGCCCTGACCTGGATGGCCCAGGCAAGCCCAGTCTCATCAGATCTTGGACGCTAAGCAGGGCCAACCCTGGCAAGTACTTGAAAGGGAGACCTTCAAGGAATACCAGGGCTGGGACACAAATGCAGGCAATAGTAAGCCATTCTCTGAAATGTCCAAACCCCACTACGGGTCATCAGAAGTCAACCATGACTTCCAGGCATATAAACACACACACACACATACAAAAGAAGAAAAATGTGACTGCTAAAGAAAGACTGTGGCAGCACTGTGGATAGTTCACTGAAAAAAATATCAGTTCTGTATGCTCTAGCAGCACCATAGGAAATATCAGTGTTAGCATTTATTAAGAAATGAATTCAAAATGTAACAGCAAGTATCATTTTGTAAGTCTGCAGAATGCTCAGATTTGGAACACTGTGTACACAGTTCTGGTTTTCTCATTCCCAACAGGGTATCACAGACCTGGGAAAGGTACAAGAGAGGGAAGCTACAATGATCAAGAACTGGAACATCTTTCCCATGAGAAAACCTAAGAGACACATAGGACTTTAAGTTTAGGAAAAAAGATCAAGAATAGACATGCCAGAAGTTTGTAAAATTATAAATGGTATTTGGGAGGACTGTTCTCTTACAATCTAACAGTTCTGATTCATCCAATGAAATTAATTTAAAGTAGAGTTTAGGACAGATAAACAAGAGTACTTCTGCATCCCTTGAAGACTGTCCAGAAACTACAATCTATATACCTAATAGCCAAGTTACCCCCTCGGTGCGGATATCTAAATCCACACATCGGGGGCACTTGGGGGGCAGGGAGATTTTCCTGCACACTTGGGCAGTCCCCAGGTGTGCA